GAACATTTGATTCGCGTGGAGTGACCACGACAAATCGTGGCTCAGTGTAACTAAGCTACTTCACCGACGTATAGAAACTAAACTGTGGTCTTCACTCTGGTGTTTCGGGCATTCCGTGACATGATCCTGGTAACAAACCGTTTTATGAAGTGAAAAAAGCCTGTCATTACCATTGGTCGCGTTCAACGTCAAGCAGCGGGAGTTTGAGCATTGCACTAATTCGTCTAAACAAGTTTTCAGCTTGGCTGAGGTTTGAAGATCCATGCCGTTGGTAACGTCATCTGCATAGTTTAACAGAATGCTTTCTTCTTGAACAGGTTTAGAGCTAAGGTAAGTAGAGAACAAAAATGGTGACGAAATAGCTCCTTGAAGGACACTGGGTTTTGTGTTAGGCGGTACATTGACTTGGTTAAGTGGGATGAAAACACTCATTTCGAAGTTGGCGTCGGTTGGTGTATCCCAACTGCCGAGCTGGGGTTCGAAGGACGATGAACACACTTGGTTGGACACGCTTGCTGACATGGCTAGAAGCCGGTACCAATGGCGTTCATGCTGCGAGTTTCTTTGTTCATCCCCCTCCAATCGCTGTCTCATAGCAAATAATATCATATATAACATTATATTACTTGATTTTTGGATTTTTGTGGTGTTATTTTTGGCGTCGTATCTTTTTTGCGTCGTGACACCTTAGCTGAGGCGCGTTTCTCGCCCTCAGCTGACTTGTATTCATAATGATGATGATGGTGGTGGTGGGCGGTGAAGAGCTTTTGTCGCTAAGCCTGGTGACCCGAGTACGTTTGGAGAAATAATCCTTTAGCAAGCCTCAGTGACGTTTCGTACTACGCCGCTCCGCTACTTACAGGCGCACTGGCGATGTCACCTCGAGTGATAAACATTTTCAACTTAAGTGCCGAGCTGAGCGAAGATTCAGACCACCAGCCTTGTCTTAAGCTATCGATTTTGGTCGTTCAAACAGGCTAATATTCAATCCCCAGTCATCGCCAAATTTACTTGTCGTCAGTATTGACCGCACATCCGCCAAGTGTAGAAATCCAGTACGCGACGATCCGCTGCTGATTTAATTGACCGAAGCTTAGTCCCATGAACGAGACCGCTCATAATCTTTATGATACGAGAAGCAAGCAGATGTTTCAATTCAACAATAATTATCCCATAGAGAGACGTAAGTAGTACGCTTGAAGCGAACAATTTTTTTCCATTTATTCATCGTCAGTTTTGCTACAGCAATATCCGTTGAGGCAAGTGAAGCTCATTCGAAGGTACGGAGATTGGCTATTGATTGAACAGAATCGAAATGTTACCATAACCCGAACCAGGTGCTCAGATGATTAAAGGCACGTGACTTCGTCGAGCGAGATCCGATTCCTCTGTGAAGTGCCGCAGAGATTCAAACTGAAACTTTTGGCACCTGCCAGCACTGACTATCAGATGCGATCCTAGCTTTGATGATGAAACACACACTAGACTTCTCTGACCTTCGTTTTTTGTAACCGCGTCCATGGAGTGAACTTACGAATATTTATTAAATGTACCATTCCATTTGGAGCTTTTTTTGTGGCCGTTACGTCCTGCCTTTCTGCTATAAGCCGGGGCTGGATTGACTGGCTGTTTAACCAATTTATAATCTAATCCTTCCGTTATGTCTGTCGGACAGACTGTTCTTTATTTTTAGAGTTCTTAGTAAAATGTCCGACATGAGTTTGCGGTTAGTGGGAAAGAGTTTCAGATCCACCATAGAACTACGGTCACGAATTTGCTCGGATACATTTAGCCCGGATGTCCACTACAAATCTCTATAGTTAAATATGAATTACCAACCATTACGATGGAGGAAAGGAGAGCCGCCGGTGAGGTTAAATTATTATATGATGAAAGGGAAGAAAAGCGCGAATCTGAGCTGCTGTTTTTTTTCCTTTATTCAACACCTCACTCTTCTAAAAGATATTTGATCAAATAACCCTAACTAGGATCAGTGGCTGTCACGTGGTTAGACAGCTTATTGCCCCTAATCTGTCCTCTGCTATTTGTTGCATGCACCCTTAGATGCTGATGCGGTTCCTACTGGTCAAGCTGGAGTGGGCATCGTTCTGGTTTCTTGTGAGCAGCCTTCTGTGTGTAGCTCGCTTTACAATATTAACCGAGACTGTCACACGGTGCAGAGTTAGGCGCTGTTTGTTTGTTATTGCTGCTTATTCTCCCACCGACTGCAGCTCTGAAGCTACCATGCGCGCTTCATTCCACCATCTCAGCGCGTTACTTCCCAGTGAAATTAGCTTGGATACCGTCCTCGTTGCAGGATATATGAATGTGTCACGCTCATCTGAGTTCCCCAGAAACTCACTCAGGTGGTAAGTTTCTGCCTGACACTGAACGCACGAACAATGACGAATGTTAATGTTGGACTTGGAGAATCTGCTGTGGTTTGGTTGCTACAAGCAACTTCTATTTAGACCTCCGTTCACTTGAGGTGGACCTCGGTCATTCCGATCACTAGTACCGTATGTGAAATGGAAATATTTTGGTGTTGCTTATCCCAACACTGGCACCCCACGACCGTGGCTTTTTCCTGGTTTGGACTCATCAGGTGGCGATAACCTGCGCTGGGGTAGAAATCAGAGCCTAGTGATTCACGGCTGACGCCATAAACACTATGCCACTGAGATCGGTGAGCAACGCTTGGCGAATGTTACTGCAACTTCGCTCCGGGTATCGGCTGTTTCATAGCAGCACGGCCTTCAGGCACAATGGGCGCCATTCTGCCATTTGGCGTTCCCTGATAGTTAGCACTAGATTCAAATTGACCACATCGTCATAAGTTTCAGATGGCGCGGTTCACTTCTGGGCTACCGCTGATCCTGAAACACTCATCGACTCTAATCATGCCTTGGTCCGCAGCCGGTGTTCCATGAACTTCGCCAGTAAGCGAATCGAACATTCCCCCAACTAACAACCGAGAAGTTATCTCGGTCATCGGTCAAGCGAACCTATCAGGATGCTCGGCACATCAGTCTCTCACCTGGTTACACTAGAGAAATCAACCGAAATGTAGAAGACTGCTACCTCTGCTTGCTACACTGTATCGTCATAGCACCATACACTAAATATCTGAGAGGTCTGTATAACTATTAGAATCCAGAAGAAAACTACCTGCCTGTTCTGACCACAATGTGACCAGACGGACGATTAAGCGCCAACTGAATCGAAGCCTACATTATATCGGAAAAGCTTGATTGACCGAAATGGTCTAGGAAATGGAGATCGAAACGCCCGGAAATTATTGTTGACCCTTTGGCTGGTCTTCATCGCTCATCCCAAGTACTTGTCGAGTGAGACAATCGAGGACAGTACTGATAAACCCATTCAGACTAAGGAACACGTCTAGCAAATTGGGCGAACCGTTTGGTCGGTCCATTTCTCCTGGGCTTCTCCCTACGCAGATGGCTTATGGCTGAGGCCCATGGGTGAGCAACTTAATAGCTCCATTGGAGTCTGAGGTCCGAAACGCGATCGCAGCCTTCAGTCATTTTCGCGTTACTAGTCCTGATTCCCTTGTGCTATCTCGGAATGGAAGATGGTCCCCCCCTCTGTATTTCACCAAGCTTCAGTCAAGAAACTGAGTCACGTTAAATAAGCACATCAGTCTAATAGGTGAAGTTGGCACGAATACCTCCAGCAGTGGTGGAGTCACTTGTGGGTACAGTAATCTGCCGATCTGTGTCAGATTCTGTACAAACCGTCGATTTTGTTGGTGAGCTGGTGGTATTATTGATCTTGTTTTATTTACGTGTAGGCTTGCGGGATGGAATTCACGTTGTAGTGAAGTTCCATCCCCAAAATGATCTCTTTTATTAATCTTAGGATAGACCCCATAATGTCTTATCTTCCGCTAAATTTTTGCAACTAGTTCGACAAAGTGTCGGGTACGGATAACATTTTCGGCAAACTTTTTTGAATTATGTCACCGTTATGTTGTGAGCACGCTTTATATTCTTTTCAGCTGAATACCATATTCAGGGTAATAGCGTTTTTATCTGGTTTACATCTTCCAGTCACCACAAATGCAGCAGAATTCAAGGATTTTATTACCCCATTAATGTGCTTTAGTTGTGTTTAACGATGAACCAATTTGGTACGCAACCGACAAGGCTGTCAGCGACGGGATCAAGCCGCACGAGTTTCGAATTTTGTTTTACTGCTACTCTAATGGCACAATTCTGTCTGTCAGTAAAGGCACAAGATCAGTGATAGTGGCCCGGCATTCTTATCGACAGGGATTTTTTGAGGTCAAACTTCGCGGTAGTCTGTTTACAGTTTGGAACTTACTGACAAATGAGCCTACAATAACAGGAATCCTGGAATATGACAACGGATGATATAATAAAGCTCTTTGCTCTGCATTTAAACCTAACTTAACTGCTTTTAAGCACCATTCCGTGTTGGGTTTAAAATTCAAAAGGTATTGACAGACGAGTGTGAAACTAGAGAAAAAGCAGAAGTTCACTCCTCACTTATTCAGATGAAGGTTTTATACATGGCACTATAAGGCGGCAACACATAGAATGCTCACTCATTTAATTTTCCACGCTTGGGTACTGTCCAGAGCAATCACTTCATTGTTAGAAGCACCTCTCGTTTTATGAAAACTGAGGTGTTCATAGAGCGAAACACAAGTGACACCGAAGAGACTAGCAAGCATTTAGAAAGGAAAACCTGTTCAACCTCTAAATTAGTGCGAATTTTTACGATGGAAACAAGGTTGGCAATCCACTAGCAATTGCCTAAATTCGACTAAGACCACACGTGCAAACTGCCGTTTTTGACTTACTTTCGCTTTACATGGCTCCGGAGTGTCATCACTTTTATTGGTGCTACTTTACCGGCACTTCTTTATTTGGAACTCACTACTTTCTCGTTAACTGATATTAGGACTGTTGGTAGTTTTATGCCGTGTGCCATTTCTGACCTCTGTACCATTTTAGGTTGCTGTTGAAATGGATCCCGTTGCACATCGCCACAATATCTTTCATTGCCCTGTGATCAAGGAGGTTTCCACGTCGTCTAACGGCCCTGTTCGTTTGTCCTGTGGCCACGCCGTATCTCGGGATGCATTCGAGTCCTTACCAAGCGGTGATCACAGGTAACATCTACTGATAATTTGTGTTCATCGCCTGCGCTAAGTCCTTTAGTCAATTAGGAGCTTGTCGCTTTCAAACCACCACCTAAAGTTTAACTTTTCACCAACGTTAAACCTTCCGATGACGTCGCATACCAGGGGATCACTCCTACTACGTACGGCTGTTGAACGTAGCCCAAGATCCCAAACAGAACGGGTTTGCTTCGCACTATCTACGGTACCATCACAAAATATGATGAAGTAAGTGTACAAACCACACCCTTCAGGATCACAATATATCAGCCTTAACAATGTAATTAACTCATGCAGGTTGGGAGGAAGAATCGTGGGACATGCTAAGCAGCTAAACGTTTAATTGTATACATGGCAGTTACGCCAATCTCATCGCACTCACGATGGTCAACCATTGGCCATCCACTCACAGATTGACAGGAGTGAGAGGCAAATGTGGAGCAAACATATGTACAAGACAATCGACTGTAGTGGGGAGTACGAGAATGCATGTTAGCATCTTGTTCAAAAACTTGTATTAACTACCTATTCGATTCTACACAAAGCAAAGTGCTCAGATAATATCTATGGAGGGGATGGATTCATACACGAATGATTAATCACTAAGCAAAAGCTATATTGAATTGGACGGTTTGAACACCGTACCGTACAGCTAAGCGAGAGCTTAGAGATAATTAAGGCATCCGGTATTGGTTGGGTGCATGGTTCAATGCATGAATTGTCCACCTGCCACCGGGAGTGTCCGTTGGACTAATTGCAAATCATAATTCCAAACAACAACCGAGAAGGCGATTCCAAGAGATTTCCGACGTAATGCAGTAAGCATCAGCGATACGCCGGTATGCCGTACCGATACCTCAATGCTGCGTGTCCACAACCAGCCGCGCGCAGTTAGCGATACTCCGGGGGTTACCTGCGCACACACAGTTTCGAACCGACGATCTCTGTCTTACCGGCCACCAGCCGACACACATTTCAGTAATTCGTTATAATTCCGGTTGCACCTTTTTGTGCCACATCAGTTTCTTACCCTAACAGACTGTTGTTCATTTTGAATCACATTTGCCACTTTACTAGCTCACCCGTCAGTTGCAGGATACACCTGAATTACTCCCAGATCCCAGCTAGTAAACTGCCCACATCCCTCCACCCTCTTATTTGCGCCCCTTAATACACCCGATTTACTCGCACTCTACGTTTTCTCTGGAGCTTTCCAGGCGGCGGAGTGAGTTTACATCTCACTCGCTGCCTGGGACACCTTTTGTCGTACTTTGTTGACCGCTTTACTTTCCGCACTCGTTGCTCTAAATCATTCCGCTTTAGCCCATAGCCACTCTGGTTGGAACCTATTGAAGCGGTTACAAGCAGAGTAAACGGCAGTCCTGAAACACAGCAACAATAGTATCTACGGACCAACACCATCCGGACTTTGTTTAGACCCCTGTATGCAAAGCTTTCTTAGCTCAGCACCAACTGTTTTCGTGTTATTTACCTCTGCTTAGATCATCCCGATGAGACTGAACCTTAACATGTTGCAACCGTTTGCCTGCCTCTTCGACCCATTGGGCTATATATTGGGTGGTACCTCCGGCCTCCTTCAGACCTTTTCCTTCTTGGTTGGTCAATGGTTAGAAATCAGACAAACTCAGCCTCCTGGTCTTCCATATTGGGGGTTGGAAATAGAATGGCGTCCATTTCTGTAAAACTAAATCATTTCCTCCTCCCCGCTGCGTTGAGGACTGGCTTGTGGACTGGTGGCTTTTACTGATGGTCCAAATCGTTTTCATGTCTAGCTTTGGGCACCCTGGCAGTATCTCAGCTCAATTACAACCATGACTACCGTGTATTATCGAATATAAGCCGCCATTATAAATGTCGACAGTATAACAGCAATATCCAATTAGGCCAAAGCCGTAAGTCCCTAATTTAACCGATGCCCAAAAATATCAGCAAAAAGGCAACGAACATTTTTCACGATTTTGACGTCTGTAGCGATGAGGAACTAAAGATTATCAGCTTATACCGAGGGTTTGATAAGAGTCTTTCGCTTCTGCTCAGTCGCCGTAGATCAGCCGCGCAGGTCAGGGTGAGATTGGAGCGCACTAATTTGCCGACCCACCAATGGCATGTAAGTCTACTGTATTTACTCACCCACGCATGTCTGGTGGTGTGAATACGACGTGAGGACGCATAGCGGTGCATGTGTCCTTGAAATATGTTAATTACCCACGGCGATTTTGACACCGCTCAGTCCAGATCGGGTCGCTGCCGACGTTTTTGGCTGGTGGTTTGCAACATCTCGACAGCAGTGCATAATGCATTGGCTACCGTGTTCAAATGTTGGTGGCGCTTCGACAGTTGCTTAATGTTATTCCAGCAAATGATAAAAGGGTTAGTGACAACGCTGTTGTAGACAGAATGTTATCTTCACATAAACCACCTAAGCAAAATAAGAATTCGTAACAATTGGTGAAAATATGAGATGCTACTTCTGCATAAATGAGTCCGGAAAAGCTGTCGTTGACAGACTACTCCGTCACAGTCTTGATAGCATTTGCAGGAACCAAGTGGGGTGCACGCTGTCTAATTTGTTTAACAGTGACCGTGTAACATGAAAGGCTAACAGTGTCGCTCAGTCTCTCAGGAAAACGTAGGTGTATATTAATCGAAATGATCGTTACATGCTGCCGTGTATGCCAATTAAGAGACTACTCGCTGCACGTGTTTGTGGATAAGGACTGTTGATGAAATCGCATTGTGTGCGTCATTGCACAAAAACGATCGAGGAGCTGTGTCTAAGCTAAGCCCAAGAAGATACCATCAATTGCACACAATCGCACCCTGTCCGTGTATTCCAGAAACAGCTTGGGACAAATTTGTGGGCACGTTCACATCCCTAGTCGCGAAGGCATCAGAACCGAAAGCTTTTCATCCTCCCCTCAAAACGAAATCTTTTCACAGAAGCCGAACACGAAAATATATGGCCTTGAGGGACCGGACTTGGCATGGTTATAGAAACAATTGCAGTTCAGAAAATTGGACGGTGTACGCAACTAAGGCGAACGACTCTGTGCACTTGGTGCGTGAGGACAAGTTCACAAACTAGCAGTTTGATCCGGCGTAACATTCACTGCGGAAACGGTACCGAAAATGTCATTATCCTTGCGTACACAGGTCTCTTGGAGTGGACAATATCCACCCCAAAAGCACTAAAGGTAACAATCACGCACCTAGCCGGATTATTTCAGCCATCTCTGGACTGCAACATAGCTCCGTCGAAGTGGAAACTAGGTTTCATCAATCCTATTCACAAGGGAGCAAGTCAATACGAACCTTCCAATAACCGCCCGGTAATCTTCTCCCGGTGTTCGCCATAGTTTTGGAAGAAATTCTGGCCGACGCATTGATGTGCTATGTGGAATGCCATGGTATCTTTATCTACGATCTAGCCAGTGTAATCACCCCAACCCTGTCGGCCAACGAGACCTTTCGGCGCTGAGGCCCATCTATAGGTACAACGATTTCTTCCGTGTACGCTGCTCACGTTAACGTCTTGTTCTCTTCAGGCAACTCCCACAATATTCCCTCCACACTGACGCAATATCGGCACCATTAGCCATAGCAGCAATTTAGTCCTGAAGTCAATGGTTATGCGAAAGATGTATTGAAATGCAGTACGTAAAACAAGTATAACAATCAACGCAGTAGATGCTCGAAATGCCCACCGCCGTTTTGCTGGCACAGCAGCATTCGCCGGATGCTGTTGGCTATAACCCTCTGCAATGCGTCAACCGATATCGCGCAGTACGTACTCCAACTTGTGAAGAAATTTAACAAAACTGGGAGCGTGTGCAACGGCAAACGAACTGGGCGGCCTCGTACTAACACGGATGAGATTTCCGCTGGTGTTGTTGTCGAAGAGGTTCGTCGAAATAGTCATCTCAGCATTCGGAGAATCGCCCAACACTGTGCCACTACACCATATGCTGTGCACCGGATATTGAAGGAAAGAAAATTCTGAAGGTATGGTGCATTGCAGGTACAAGTGTTAAAGCCGGACGATTCGGTGAATCGTCTTACTTTCGCTCGCTCGTGCCTGAATACCTTGGACGTGCATTCCATCATATTTACCGATGAGGCCATTTTACGTCTGCATGGCACACAGAAGCGGCATGTTTGGGCCACCAATAACCCACGGCAATGCATCGCTTCCCGTGTGCAACATGGCACACAGCTCATGGCCTGGGCTGGACTAACAAGTCGAACAATCATCGGACCTTTCTTCTTTTCTCAAAATGTGACGGGTAAGCTGTGTAGCAAAACTAATACATCACACTTCTTAGCCTTTTCATACAAAGAAATGTTACAGACGTGGGTGATTCCGCGGTTACATGTGGAAGGACTGTTGAGTACGGTTTGGTGGCAGCAGGATGGTGCACCGGCCCATTCAGCACAAACCGTGCGTCAGTTCCTGGACGACACATTTGGTCATCGATGGATTGTTCAGGGAGGACCAATGGAGTGGCCGGCACGTTCTCCGGATATGAATCCCCTTGATTTCTTCCTTTGGGGATACCTGAAACGAAGAGTTTATAAAGTGAAACCCACGTGTGTGGCAGAACTGAAGCGGAGCATCGTGGAAGAATGTCGCGCGATATCGGTTGACGCATTGCAGAGGGTTATAGCCAACAGCATCCGGCGAATGCTGCTGTGCCAGCAAAATGGCGGTGGGCATTTCGAGCATCTACTGCGTTGATTGTTATACTTGTTTTACGTACTGCATTTCAATACATCTTTCGCATAACCATTGACTTTAGGACTAAATTGCTGCTATGGCTAATGGTGCCGATATTGCGTCAGTGTGGAGGGAATATTGTGGGAGTTGCCTGAAGAGAACAAGACGTTAACGTGAGCAGCGTACACGGAAGAAATCGTTGTACCTATAGATGGGCCTCAGCGCCGAAAGGTCTCGTTGGCCGACAGGGTTGGGGTGAT